TCCTCGTACTCCTGAACAAGTTCCTCCTTCTCCTCGTCACCGTCCTCAAACACAACGCCGGCGTCAACATCACCCTCATCGTCCACCTCTTCATCTTCATACTGGTTTCCCTCATCATCCTCGTCCACACCATGACCTTCATCATCATGGTTGTCACCACCCCCTCCGCCGTTGTCATCACCAGAGTGTTGCTAATCATGTTCGCTGCCGTCATCGTCATTATCCTGGTACTCCTCCTCCTCCTCCTCCTCCTCCTCCTCCTCCTCCTCCTCCTCCCCTCTTCCTCCCCTCCTCCTCCTCCTCGTCCTGCGCACTCTCCTCCTGCGCCTCTTCTTCCCCATCCTTCTCCTCCTCGCCATCATCCTCACCCTCCTTTTCATCTTGATCCCCCTCCTAACCCTCCTCCTCCTCCTCCTCGTCCTCCTCCTCCTCCTCCTCCTCCTCCTCCTCCTCCTCCTCCTCCTCATGTCTCATCCCTCCTGCCTAACCATTCCTGTCTCATCCCCCTACCTCCCGCCTCCTCCCCGCCCACCTCCGCTGCCAGCGCCGATGGCTGGCAGGGGGTCCTCTGCACGGCACAGGTGCAGCCCAGCAACCTGTTCAGGAACTGTTTCAGGTTGTTCGGCTTCAGGGTCCTCGCGCACCAACTGGCACCCCCTTGTTCTTCTCCTCCTCCTCCTCCTCTCCCCTCCTCCCCTCCTCCTCGTCCTCCGCCGCCGCCTCCCCCTCTTCTTCCTCTTCCTTCCTCTTCCTCCTCCTCCTCCTCCTCCTCCTCCGCCTCCTCTTTCTCCTCCTCCTCATCCTCCTCCTCATCCTCCTCCTCCTCCTCCTCCGTATCATCATCATCATCATCATCATCATCATCACATCATCATCATCATCATCATCATCATCATCATCATCATCATCAGAATCATCATCATCATCATCATCATCATCATCATCATCATCATCATCATCATCATCATCATCCGCAGCAGCAGCACCACCACCAGCATCAACAGCAGTATCAGCATCATCATCATCATCATCAGCAGCAGCAGCATCACCTTCATCACCACCACCACCACCATCATCAACATCAGCATCATCAGCATCGTCATCCTCTTCTCATCATCATCAGCATCCTCATTAGCATCACCATTACCATCATCAGCATCCTCATCAGCATCGTCATAATCATCAGCAGCAGCATCAGCATCATCGTCAGCAACAGCATCATCATCACCACCGACATGTTCAGCAGCATCATCAGCGTCATAAGCATCATCATAATCATCATCAGCATCAGATCAGCGTCATCATCAGCAGCATCATCCTTAGCATCGTCATCACCAGCATCATCATCAGCCACATCATGATCAGCGGCATCGTCATCATCAGTATCATCATCGGCAGCAGCAGCACCAGCATCTTCATCATCCTCATCCTGATCATCATCATCATCATCATCATCATCATCATCATCATCATCATCAGCATCATCAGCATCAGCATCAGCATCAGCAGCAGCATCCGCATCAGCAGCATCATCATCGTGATCATCAGCAGCAGCAGCAAAATCATCTTCATCACCACCACCACCACCGTCATTAGCATCATCATCATCATCATCATCATCATCATCAGCATCATCATCCTCATCATCAGCATCAGCATCATCGTCATCATCATCATCGTCGTTAGCATCACCATCATCATCACCAGCATCATCATCAGCATCGTCATAATCGAGAGCAGCAGCATCATCATCGTCATCATCACCGTCACCATCATCATCGCCAGCAACAGCATCATCATCACCACCAACATGTTCAGCATCATCATCAGCGTCATAAGCATCATCATAATCATCATCAGCATCAGATCAGCAGCATCATCATCAGCATCGTCATCACCAGCATCATCATCATCAGTCGCATCATCATCAGCAGCATGGTCATCATCATAATCATTATCATCGGCAGCAGCAGCACCAGCATCCTCATCATCCTCGTCCTGATCAGCATCATCATCAGCAGCAGCATCACCCTCATCATCAGCAGCATCACCATCATCAGCATTATCATCATCGTCACCGGCAGCATCATAATCATCAGCATCATCAGAGTCATCAGCAGCAGCATCATTATCATCGCAGCAATCAGCATAATCAGCATAGTCGGCACCATCACCATCATCATCGTCGTCGTCGAAGTTCTCCTCCGCTGTCTCCTCATCAGCATCATTATCATCAGAAGCATCACGATCAGCATCAGCATCATCACCAGCAGTAGCATCAACATCATCAACATCAGTATCAGCATCATCATCATCATCGTCATCATGGTCATCATCAGCAGCATCACCATTCGCGTCAGCATCATCACCAGCAGCAGCATCAACATCAGCATCAGTAGCATTATCATATTCATCCTAATCATCATCAGCAGCATCATCGTCATGATCATCATTTTCTCCATCAGCATGATCATCAGCAGCACCCGCATCAGCAGAATCGTCATCATCTCCATCACCATCCTCAGCAGCAGCATCATCATCATCATCAACATCATCATCATCATCATCACCACCACCACCACCATCATCATCATCATCATCACCACCACCACCACCATCATCATCATCATCATCGTTATCTCATCGTTATCATCATCATCATCATCATCATCATCATCATCATCATCATCATCATCATCATCATCATCATCTTCGTCGTGGTCTTCATCCTCCACTTCCTCATCATCATCAGCATCAGCAGCATCATCATCAGCATCAACATGATTAGTATCATCAGAATCATCATCCGTAGCAGCATCCATATTACTTCATCAACATCATTATTATCAGTATTATCGTTATCATCACAGTCATCATCACCGTCAGTATCACTATCGTCATCATCATCATCATCATCATCATCATCATCATCATCATAATCATCAGCAGCAGCAGCAGCAGCACCATCAGCATCATCATCAGCACCATCATCATCATCATCATCATCACCATCATCATCATCATCATCAGCAGCATCATCATCACCATCATCGTTATCATCATCCGTAGCCATTTTGGCTCAAGCTAGCTGGCTCAAGCTCGCCTGGGTCGGCAAATGGCGCGGGATCGCGTGGCCGCCACATCCGGGTGATGGCTGCGAGGAGCGGGCACCCCCACGAGGCGCCGCGCGTCCTTCGAGGAGCCGAGGGGGCGCGTGCCTCGGCAGACCGCTTGGTGAGGCGCCCGAGCCAGGAGCCAGAGGCTGCCCACACGGAGTGCGCGGGGCTGCGGGCGGTGCTGGACCAGCGGGCTGCATGGGGTGAAGGCGTCGAAGCGGACGCTGCCCACCGTGAGGCTCTAGCCAGGCCCTCCCTGGTGGCGAGGCTCGGCGGCGCGCCCAAGAGCGGTGGGAAGCGCTCGGTGCGGAACGTCTCGCTGCATGCGAAGCGTTGCCCGCAGGCTGGGGCTCCCTGATCGGAGTGGAAGGCTGCGCAGCGCGAAGGCCGCCTGCCTCGTGGAGCCGCCGCTGCAGCAACAATGAAGTGCGATGTCGAGTGCGAGGTCATCATCTGCGAAGCGGAGGCGTCGCTCTTCAGGCATCGGGTCGATAAGCTGCACGTGGAGCCGCAGGCCGAGGTGCTGAGGCCTGGCGAGTGAGAAGCACGTCGGGGTAGCTGGGGCGCCCTGCCGACGCGTGCCCGCCCTGCGACGCTGGGGTGCCTGATGCGGTACCTCAATAAAAACGCAGCCGAGGCCTGCCTGCCCGAGGCGGGCGCTGGAGCTGCGGAGGCCCGCGGGGCCGCGACTGGTGTGGTGCCAGGACTGCTGGAGGCGGAAGCCGAGGCGGCCCAGGAGCCGCCGCTGCTCCTCCCCCCGCCGCCCGGCGGCTCGGAAGCTGCCACGGCCTGCACGGCCGCGCCGACGGCTGCTGCGAGCAGCGCCGCGGTCGCGGAGTACCTGGCGGCCCACCCCGCGGCGCTCCTCAGCGGCGGCGGCGGGGAGGAGCACTTCGACGAGATCGAGAAGCCCACGTGCGAGGAGCACGAGGGGCAGGCAGAGCAACAGGAGCCCGAGGCCATCGGGTTCGAGCTGAATCACGGGGAGGAGCACTTCGGCGCGCTGCGTGGCGCAATGGGGGTGCCCAAGGACGACGAGGAGGACCAGAACGAGCTGGAGGCCCACGTGTCGGGTGACGGGGCGGGGGACGAGCAAGGCGGCGGTGCGCGGGCGTCGTGCAAGGAGCCGCCGAGCATCATCGAGGAGCCCACGTGCGAGGAGCATGGGGGGCAGGCAATGCAGCAGGAGCCAGAGGACATCGGGGTGAAGCTGAACGACGAGGAGGAGCACCTCGGCGAGCTGCGGAGCGCCATGGGGGTGCCCTCCAAGAACGACGAAGGGGGGAACAGCGCCGGCGAGGAGTCGGTCCTGTCCCCGCCCGTTGGCGAGGGCGAGTTCTTCCTCGAGGTCGTCGACATGGAAGCGGTGGCGGCAGCTGCCACACGGCAATACGACTGCGTCGAGGCGCTGTGGGCCATCAACATGCAGAGGTGGGAGGGTGGCGCGGCTCATCGAGCGCTGATGGCGCGGTCATCGAGCGCTGGCGACGCGTACATCGAGCACCTCATCGGCAAGTGTGACTGCTCGGAAACCCTGGGGAGGGGGCCCAAAGACCCTGTGAGTGAGTGACGCAGTTGCGGTGGGCGCGATCGCTTCGGCCACGACCGTATTCGGAGGCGGGGTCGTCATCATTAACATCATCATCATCATCATCAGCATCATCATCATCATCATCATCATCATCATCATCATCATCATCATCATCATCATCATCATCATCATCATCATCATCATCAGCATCGTCGCCCTCTTTCTGCCCCCCCCATCTCATTATGTTCCTCCACCTCCTCCTCCTCCTCCTCGGCCTCTTCCTCCTGCTCCTCCTCCTCCTCCTCCGCCTCCTCCTCCTCTGGTTCCTCCTCCTCCTCCTCCTCCTCCTCCATAGTCTGTTCATTAAGCTCATTCTCATCATCAGAAGCAGCATCAGCACCAGCCTCAGAATCATAATCAGCATGATACTAAACAACAGGATGGTCATCATCATGATCGTCAGCATCAGCATCCTCACCATCAACAGCATCATCATCAGCAGCAGCATCATCAGCATCAGCATCAGCATCAGCGTCACCATCAGCAGATGCATTATCATGATCGCAATCGTCATCAGCATCATCGTCATCATCAGCAGCATCATCATTAGCATCCCCAGCATCATGATCGTCGTTATGAACATCATCATCAATCATCATCAGTATCATCATCATCATCCTCATCATCAGCATCGGCAGCAACATGAGCATCAGCAGCAGTCTCATCATCATCATCATCATCATCATCGTCATCATCATCAGCATCATCATCATCATCATCATCATCATCATCATCATCATCATCATAGTCATCATCATCATGCCCAACATTATCATCATCACCATCATCAGCAACATCATCATCAGCATCATCAACATCATCAGCACCAGCTTCTCCGGCATCACCATCAACAGCATCGTCATAAACCGTATCATCATCAGAATCACCAAAATCATCATCGTCAGCATCATCACCAGCAGCACCATCATCACCATCGTCGGCATCAGTATTATCATCATCATCAGCAGCATCGTCATCGTCATCGTCATCATCCTCCTCATCATCAACATCTTCGTCGTCGCCATCATCCGCATCATCAGCATCCTTGCCGTCACCATGACAAAATCACTATCAACACCATCATCAGTATCATCATCAGCAGCATCACCACCACCCTCAACATCATCATGCCCATGATCCTGATCATCATCACCATATTCGTCGTAATCACCAACCGTATCACCGCCACCGCCACGAACACCATCGTCATCATGCTTCATCATCAGAATCAGAATCCGCATCATTGCCGATGTCCGTCATCCACTGATTAACGACATCAGCATAATCATTAGATTCGTCATCAGATTCCTCATAATCACCACACTCATCAGCAGCAGTATTATCAGCATCATCATCATCATGAGCATCCCCATCAGCATCAGCAGAATCATCATATGATAATCGTCATCAACAGCAGCAATATCAGCAGCATCATCACGATCACCGTCATCATCATCATCATCATCACCATCAGCAGCAGCATGAGCATTAGCAGCAGTATCAGCATCACCCCCAGGATCATCACCATCATCATCATCAGCAGCAGCATCATCAGTACCAGTCTCATCATCATCAGCATCAGCATTATCATCGGCAATAGAATCATCGACGTCATCATTGCCAGCAGCATCATCATCAGCAGCATCGCCAACAGCATCAACAACATCCTCATCATCATCATCAACAATAACATCAGCATCATCATCAACATCATCATCATCAATATTACCTCGTGTCCCTTATCCTTCATCCTCCTGATCCTCCATGTTGCGACATCTTCCGTCATTCTCCTGATCCTCTTCCTCCTCCGCCCCTTTCCCGGCCTCTCGCCGCCAAAGCCGACGCCGTCGAGGCCGTCGATGCCCTGGCAGCGGCGGGGGGGTGGACGGGCGGCGTGATCCCAAGGCCAGGCGCAGGACGAGGAGGAGCAACTTCCTCGTCGTCGTCCTCCTCGTCCTCCTCCTCCTCCTCCTTCTCCTCCTCCTCATCCAAACCCTCCTTCGGAACGGGCGGGGGCAGGAGAAGGAGCAGGGCGGAAGGGGTAGGAAGCAGGCAGTGGAGCAAGAAGTGGGAGGAAGCCATCGCACGGTGCGAAGGGGAAGTACGAAGAATGGAGGAAGGAGCAATAAGACGCCGTGATGGTCGAAGAGGCGAGTGTGATGATAGAGATCGACGATGTGGCATTGGAAACTGGCAGCATGGCCCTGGGAGCCTGAACAAGGACATGTGTGCGCAAGGGGGCTATCTCGCAAAGACCACACCGCTTTGTACAGCACCAGCGCGGTCTGGACACTGAGCATGGTGAGTGGGGCTACCCCCCAGGCCACGCTCGGGGGAACCCGCCGCAGCCACCTGGCCTGGGCTGCCTCGCGTATAGTGACACGCCAGACTGGCGGAGGCGTGCTCGAACGCTGCGAATCGCCATTCGTGCGGGCGCTGCTGCTGGCCTTACTGTGACGGGGCTCGGGCCCCTGAGAGACCAGTAGCAGGGAACCCTGGCCCCGCGTGCGCGCCCCGGCCTCCTGGCGGCAACAAGAACACAGACGGCCGTGGGGGGCCAGCAGGCCAGGTTTTGACTTCTGCTCCACCGCAATGCACGCTCCTGTCTCCATGCTTGCCATCTGCTTGAACTCGGACGAGACCGCGACGTCCACGAGAATTCACTGGGCCGCCCCGTGCCGTCCCCCTCTGAAGGGGCAACGCTGGGGGGGGGGGGGGGCAGCTCAAGGGGGAGGACATCGAGCCTGAACCTGCCATACATCGCCGATAGATCGGGGACCGACGCCCGCTGGCGAGTCCACAAGTTCCTGGGCGGGGGCGGGATAGAAGACCCGCATCGGCGATCAGCGGGCGACTTGGGGTCGACGCGTTCCCCTAATGTCGGCGGTGGACAAACCTCCCTTTAGTAAACCTCCCTTTAGTGAAAACGGCCTGAGACCGAAACCGACGGACCTGGACCCGCAAACACAACGGCCGCGACGCCCTCTCGCGAACCGAAAACGGCCAATGCACTAATCGACGTGTCAGGGTAGGAGGTCTGTCCACCCCCGATAATGAGAATATCCCCCCTGACGCTGCCCCTGACTCCGGTGCCTGCGCATGCGCGCGACGGGGCGGGTGGGCCAGGACGCTGCATACTGCGTGGGCTCTCTCGGCGCAGCAGGGGCGTGGCTTGGCAAACTGGGGGGGGGCGGAGGTGGCTGCCCCTCCCAAGGGCCCAGCCGTCCGCAGGGCGCGCCGGACCTCGCCCTCCACAACCTCCGCGGGTGATGGTCTTGAGAGCGGTGCCGATGCCAATAAGAATCGTCTCGAACGTAAACGCCCAGATAGACCCACTGAGAGGACCTCGTCCAACTCCGCTGCCAGCGAAGAGTGGGCGGAGCACGTTGTCCAGCAGCAGGGAGGTGAACGGGTTGTGGCAGCAGGCGTAAAACAGTGGCAGGAACGAGCCGTGAATGCCGCAGCGTTGGGGTACTTCCCAAAGCCATGCATGTATGAGACTAGGGAACGCCGCAGCGACGTCCATACTTATGAAGCAGGGCTGCAACTCGGCAGCGTCGGGGAGGATGCTGAACTCGCGGCAGCCCGCGTCAATGTTGACTATATTAGTGAGGTACTGCCGTCCAGGAGCACATCCGCGCTGTACGTCGCCAGTGGAGCGAGCGAGGGGGGGGGGGTCCTGTTGCGGGCAGACGCACTGATCTTGACGTCGCTGTTGTCCATACAGCGGGTGGAATTCAGCAGGACTGCGTAGAACAGCGCGCTGGCCATCGGGTCCTTCTCCTTCTGGGAGCATCGCCATCAACGAGAAATTAAGATCGCAAGGTGCTGGGCCGCCGCGTGCCAGGTGGGCCGCGAGCTCAGCAGAGATAGAGAAGCTGAGCAGCGTCGCAAGCCACGCATGATAAGGTAGCTGGTCAGGGCCAGGAGCGGAGTCGGTTGCATGCTTGGCCGCGGCTTCGAGGTCGCGCTCGTCGGGGATGGCAGCGTCGACCACCGCCTTCAATGGGAGGACCGTGTCCAGGTGCTGCATTGCGTCCTGCTCGTTGATCGCCTTCTCCGCGGACATCGGTGCCCTGCACGCCTGGTTGGCGCTGCGCGCGTTCATCGGATCGGTCTCGACGTAGAAAATGCCGCCAGCGGTCTGCACGCCGCTGAGAATCAGCCGCTTCGCGATGGGCTTCCACAGCTCCCCGCGCCGACGCGCGCGGGGGGGCCGCTGTCGCCGGCGGTCGCCACTACGAGGGCGACGGGCTGCATGCCCGTCGTGCCTGGGCTGCCGGTCGCGCTCGTCATTCGTCGGCCGCGCCAGCGCGAGCCGCAGCAGCTTCGGCACTGAAGTTCGGAAGGTCGCGGACGCAAGTCTTTGGGGTCGCGGGCGCAAGTCTCTGGGGTGGAGCTCACGCTCAGCGCGCCGCCGTGAGAATCTGCAGGCGCCGCGCCCGATCGCGCGCGCCCTCGATGTGCAGTCTAGCGAGGAGGGGCATCTTGAGGCCAGACAGCCCTCGCGATGCTTCGCACGGCCATGGCATTCTCACCTCCTCGGCGATACCCCGCGGCTGGCTCTCGAGGCGTCAGCACGGCCTCCGCGGCGCCGTTCGCGCGCGCAGAGCGGCCGCGCGCTAAGTTGTCCTGGAGCGCCCTCGACGCGGCCACGGCGCCGAGAGGAGCGAAGGCACTGAGGTAGCGCTGGGAGAAGGCGCTCGCTCTTTGAAGGGGCCCTGGGACACACAAATAAATACACACAAATAACAGGATTCCCCATATTTTCCCATATGTTCTGGGTGTTTGTCTTCCCCCCCACTTCCCATATCTTCCCATATTTTCGGGGGAATCGACGATTAATTGCGTCTGTGCGTTTTCTTCTCTCCTGACTCTTGCTGATCATGGGCGGGATCGCCCGCCCCGCCAGCAGGCAGCCGCTGTGCTCGCGGGCGCATGCGCGGACGCAGTATCTCGCGGTCGCCGACGAGCGCGCCGATCCTCTCGAAGGGCCTGCCGACCACGGCGAGCGCGGCATCCGCGCGCGGGACGTCGCGAGCCCCCAGAGGAGGTGAAAACGCGATCGACAGTCGCATCGCTGTGGTTCGCGCAGTTCCAACGAGTGGCCGCTCGAGTTGCCACCTCGATCACGCCCGTGAAGAGGTCGCGCCAAAACAGCGAAGGGGCGCTGATGTCGCGGAAGCAAAGCGGTGTCCGCAGGGAGCGTCGCGTTGCGCAGCGGATGATCGGAATGGTAGAAGTCGCCCACCGTGAACAGAGTACTTCGCGGGGCCTGGACGAACCAATTGCATCGCGGCCTGCCGCGCCGCCTTGAAGTCGCGCCTGTCGGTCGGAGGCAGGTCGTGATTGCGCGCGTTGGATCTCATGCTGCAGTAATGCTTCGCGCTGCCGGTGATCTTCATCCTGGCGGTGCGCCGTGGCGCGATCACGCTGCAGTATCGCCTGGATTTCGCGTCCACGCGTCGGTCGTAGTAGACGGGCGCTGACGGGGACCAGGCGCGCCACTCCGCCAGCGGCCCGGTTGTCATCGGTACCCGAGTACCTGCTCGTCGTGCTGGTGGCCATTGGGTTGGGGACGTCGCCTCTGCCGTGGGCCTCCTGGAGCAGGATGGAGCTGCGCCGGCGGATGCAGTCAGTCAGCAAGCGGCGCTCGGCACGACGACGCGCGGGGAAAATGCTGCAGATGGCCCGGGAGCTCCAGGAGACCAAGTTGGCGCCGTCAGGGTCGTTGCCGTCGTGCCATGGCGCCCACTTGTTGTCATAGCCACGGCACTGCAGGCTGCGGGTTCGCGAAGGCGGCGGCGAACTCGCCCATAAGCTCTTGCTGAGCAACGGGAGCGATGCCAGCAGCAGCAGCAGCCGCATCGGACCATTGCACCTGCGTTGCGTCCGTGGGCTTCGCGCCGACGTGCAACGGAGGATGGGCACGTCGTTGTCGACGGAGAAGGGGCCGTCGGCGCGGTGGACCCTGGGCGAGATGTCGCTGAAATTGTTTGTAAGATTGGAGAGCTTCTTGAGCTGCACCTCCTGTCGCACCAGCTTCGGTCGCCTGTCGGCCCTCACGCACAGGGGAAAGCTCCAGACGCCCGAGCGGCTAGAGAACTGGCGCAAATCGCGGCCAACACGAAGATGGTGATGACAGGCTCAGCCACGCGGGACGACCACCGCGTCGCCTCCGAGGAGCGTGATGCAGACCACCTCGCTGGGCGCGTGGCTGTTGAAGCGGACGCAGTTGGCGTCCACCCCGGCCGCCGTGACTCATGGCCGGAGGGCCTCGCGGAGCTCGGCCTTGGTGGCGCCGTGGGCACGGCCGCGCCAGAACGCGCCGACGTGAACAGTGTCTGTCCCGGTCCTCGATCGCGGCGAGGTCGACCGACGGGACTCGGGCCTCGGCCTGCGCGATATGGCCTGCCGGAGGCCCGCGGCCGCGGCGCGGAGGTCGGCGGTGCTGGTCTCGGTGGCGTCGGGGCGCTGCTGGACTTCCACGGGCTCGGGCTCCTCGGGTGCGTGCCCGCCGCTCGGTGACGGAGGCCTGCGGCCTGCTGGGGGCGTGCGCCGTGCATGGGCTCTGCGCTGCCATCGTGGACTCCTCGGCCGTGTTCTTGAACTTTTTTATACTATTTTTTATGTTGTTTTATTTGTTTGTTTTTATTGCTTCTTTTTTATATTTTTCGACCGTGTTCTTGAACTGCTCGGTGGCCCTGGTCCATCTGCTCTTTGACGATGGTGTCCAGCTCGCTTCGGACGTGGTCGATGCTGCCTTTGTTGAGTTCGGCGGCCGGGTCGTGCCATGGGTCACGCTTTTGACCACGGGCAGCTTGCTGGTGTTGACGAGGGAAGCGCACTCGACTGCCACGAGTTCGACCACTGCCAGCACCGCGAGGGAAGGTCTTGGTGGCGTCACCCACGTTGCTGACTACAGCTGCAGCGCCGTGAGGATGCCGTCAGGAAGCCACCTTGCTGGGGTCGAGCCTCCCCAAGCTAAAAACCGCGTGGATCAATATGGGGCGGGGCCCTCTGAGTCCCAGACAAGGGTGTGAATGGATGAGAGCACGCCACGGACTAGCGGTATCCGCCTCGTCCCCAGGAGAACGCATCATCTGGAGCCAAAATGGCCACGGAGGAAAAGGAGGAAAAGGAGGAGGAGGAGGAGGAGGACTGGGACGAGGACAGGGAGGGAGGAGGCCAGGCCAGAGCAGGCCAGCTCAGACCACGGCGGCGCAAGACGACGTCCCGAGCCGACGCTCGCTGAAGAGAGCGAGAGAGAGACGGAGGTGGGCGCATCCGCCCAGACCAACAATTTCCCATGCCGCTCTCCGACGGTGAGCGTTTTTTTATTGGGCGTTTCGACATTGGGCGGATGGGGGGGGCAGGGGGGAGGAGGTCTGGCTCCAGACCTCTGCGTAATGCGACTGTTGGCAGCAGTGCGTCCTATGGGGGAGACTCCACCTGCTCGAAGCAGGCGCCAAAAACAGCCAAGATCAACTCCATGCGGGGGAGGGGGAGGTGCGACGGCCCGCGCCGATCGGCGAAACAATGAATAAAAAAATGATCACGAGGTGGGCACATCTGCCCTCACACGCCCCCCCCCCCCCCGCCCAGACCAACAGAGTCCCTGGCCGTTCTTCGACGCCGGGGCCAGGAAGGCTCGGGTGGGCGAGCTGGAAAAGCTTGAGCGAACTTCGAAGTCTCTTGCTTCTGTTGCGCTGCGACGCTTCTTTTGGACCTCTGAGCGGCTTCTCGTCGCCAGGGCTGGATTCCCTCAAAGGTCTGGTCAGAACGCGCCCCTGGAGACGTCTGGGGGAAGATGTTTGACCCTATTGCCTTTCGTGGGGCATCATAGGTCGTGCAGGTCCGCAAGGATCCCCAGCCTCCGTTTCGCCCCCTGCCCGCAAGCGTGAGCTTCGGGACCAGAGGAGGGAGGGAGGAGGAGGAGGAGGAGGGAGGAGGACGACGAGGAGGAGGACGACGAGGAGGAGAAGAGGAGGAGAGGAGGAGGAGGAGAGGAGGGAGGAGGAGGAGGAGGAGGAGGAGGAGAGAGGGGGAGGGCGAGGGGGAGGGGGGGGGGGAAGGAGGGAGAGAGGGAGGAGGAGGAGCAGGAGGAGAAGAAGAGGAGGAGGAGGAGGAGGAGGAGGAGGAGCGGAGGAGGCGGAGGGAGGCGGAGGAGGCGGAGGAGGCGGAGCGGAGAATGAGGAGGGAGGAGGAGGAGCAGGAGGAGGAGGAGGAGGAGGAGGAGGAGGAGGAGGAGGAGGAGGAGGAGGAGGAGGAGGAGGAGGGGGGTGGGGGGGAGGGAGGGAGGGAGGAAGGAAGGGATGAAGGGAGGTCCTTCTCCCGCACTCTCGCCTCAGTAAGCAGGGGCACCGAGAACAGCAACCTGGGATTGCGGAGGAAAGCACCAAGCCGAATCGAACAGCACGAGACCGAGCGGCGCCAGCGGCTGCCCCCGCATCAGTGGCAGAACCGAGGCACATCAGCGAGAGCTGCAACTTCAGCCCAAGCGGTACTTGCACGCGCACCCAAATTATGCCGCACAGGGACAGTGTTGAGCAGCAGTAGCTGCAGCGGCGTCGATGGCAAAAGCGATGACAGTGGAAGTGATGGTGGCGGCGCAGGCAGCGAGCTAGAGGTTAGGCCAAAGAGAGCAGTATCAAAAGAGTGGCGGGGCAGCCTGCGCAATGAGCTCCTGCTTCGCAGCGCTTTGCGGCGCAGACCTCGAGACGTCCATGAGCAACCTTGGAAGCCACGAGGAATCATCAGCTGGATTGCAGTGGCGGAGCTGGCTGATGACAACACGAATATAGGCGCCCGATGACAGGCCAGAGAGGCCGATGCTTATTTGACCTGGGACCGCCGCCGCGATTACAAGTCCTCCGCTCTGCAGTTGTTAAGATAATTCTTACTGTAGTGCGCCCCTGTCCCACCCTCCACCCCCCCCCCCTTCTCCACCCACTCGAGTGCAAGCGCCTGTCCCTGCGGGCTCTCGATGAGGGGGATCCACTCCCGCGCAAGGGGGGGGGCCCTCCCTGAGCCTCGACGGAAGCCCGTAGGGCTTCCCCAGACTCGAAGCGCTCTGGATTCGGGTGGGGCCCCGCCTGACAAGCAATCACCCAGATAGCTAAGCTTAAGGCCCACCCCCCGGCACCTGAAAACCCAGAGCGCTAAAAAACTCAAGGCAGAACAACCCAGAGGAACGGGAACGACTTCTACTTTGCCGCTGGTTCCTTTCCCGACTGGGGCGGAGCAAGCGAGACACCGGTGGAGCGAAAGGACCAGAGGGATGGAATGAAGCAAAGGCGCACAAAGCGAAACGGGGCAGAGGAAACGGAACCGCGGCTAAGAAAACAAGACAGGAGTGGAAAGCGAAATTAGAAACAGGGCTCGAGAAAACGATGCAGAGGTGAAGGAGACAGGACTGGGGGTAAAGAAAACAGAACAGCAGGTGCACAAAACGAAACTGCGATGGTGAGTACAAAACACTGGTGGAGAGATTGAGCCAGCGGCGGAAAACACAAAGCAAACCGTCGGAGAACGCGGAAGGGAGACGGAAAAAACGGAACAAGACAAGAGGACACAAGTGGCGTGCGCATGGCAAAAGAAAAGATTAGATCGATGACCTTATGAGGAGACAGAATGTACGCCACCGCTCTCGACGAGGTCTGCATCATCGATCGGGGACCGCGGAACTGGCCCATAGCCCGATCCGCAGCTTGGCGGGCGGCACAGCCAGCATCGATGAAAGTCTGAGTTGAGGGGTGCGAAGACGAAAGGCGATGGAAGACGACTTGATGGAGAGGGAAAAGCAACACCGCGACGGTGCGGGCCATCTTCAATTTTTCGGGAGGGGATCGGGATGAAGACATAGAATGTGCGTGTAGCCAGATACACAAATATTGTCAAATGGAGAAGCGCCTCCACGAAGGAATGGTGCAACCAAGCAGCGGGACAACAACAAGCAAGAAGACAACCGCGTTGGGATTCATAAAACCAATATGAGATAGAGACATGCCAAGCTATCGGACCATGTGTTCCCCGAATCGGTTTGGAAAGCCTTCGGGGAACACGTGGGCATCTTGAAGGTCATCTTGGCCGTGTGGAGGCCATCTTGACCCTTTCGGGCCTTCTTGGAGGACGTCTTGGAGGGCTCTTGGGCCGTCTTGGAGGCCATCTTGAGCGTGGAAGCCTCTTGGGCCGTCTTGGGGGCCTCTTAGGCCGTCTTGGGGTCAACTTGGGCGATCTTTGGGGGCACTTGGGCCGTCTCGGGCCGTCGGAAGGCCGAAAAAAAGCAAATGCCACAATCCTTCAAAAACGAATGGAAAATCAATGATTTGGGCATTTTCGGCCCTTCCTGGAGGCCCTTTTGGGAGCCTCTTGGGCCGTCTTGGGCCATTTTAGGGCCATCTTCGGCCGTGTTGGTGGGCTCCTGGCCCGTCCGACGCCGTCGGAAGCCGTTTGGGGGGCCCCTCTGGGCCGACTTGGGGCCCTTGTGGAATGCTCCAAGGCCGTCTTGGAGGCCATCTTGGGCGTCTTAAAAGCCTCCTGGGCCGTCTTGGGGGCCTCTTGGGGCCGTCTTGGGGGCCTCTTGGGCCGTTCTGGGGCCATTTGGGATGCCTCTTGGGCGGTCTTTGGGCGATCTTTGGGCGCTCTTGGACTTGGACCGTCTCGGCCCGTCGGAAGGCCGAAAAGAAGCAAATGTCAAAATCCTTGAAAACCCAAAGAAAATCAATGTGTTTGGCCTTTTTCTGGCCTTCCTGGAGGCCCTCAGCTTCGAGCCAACTTCGGCCATCTTGGTGGGCTCCTGGCCCGTCTGACGCCGTCGGAAGCCGTTTGGGGGGCCTCTCTGGGCCGACTTGAGGCCCTCTTGGGGTGCTCCGGAGCCGTCTTGGTGGCCATCTTGGGCGTCTTGGAGGCCTCTTGGGTCGTCTTTGTGCCCTCTTGGGGCCGTCTTGCGGGCCTCTTGGGCAGTCCTGAGGCCATCTTGGAGGCCTCTTGGGCGCTGTGGGGGCGATCTTGGGGGCCTCTTGGGCCATCTTGGGTCGTCGGAAAGCCGAAAAGGAGCAAATACCCAAATCCTTCAAAAACCTTGGGAAAATCAATGATGTTGGCCTCTTCGGGCCCTCCTGGAGGACCTGTTGGAGGCCTCTTGGGCCGTCTTGGATGCTTCTTAAGCGAATTTGGAGGCATCTTGGACTCTCTTAGGCCGTTTTGGAGGCCGTCTTGGACCATCTTGGGCGGACTTGGAGGCCATCTTGGACCATCTTGGAGGTCATCTTGGGCCAACGTGGCCATCTTGGAGGCCATCTTGAGCCGTCTTGGAAGATTTTGTGGACGCTGCGGTGGTTTACGCGGCCTTCAGGGACCCCGGCGGAACGCGCCGAAGCCCCAAGGGGAGTTCCGCCGCCCCCTGCTTGCAGGGGTGCACGGCGTGCTGGACGAGCTGTTAGGTTTTGGTTTTGGTTCTTTTTCCAAAAGAACTCCCCAGTGGGCTCCGGCAGAACCCGCCACCGTGCGCAAAAACGGCCGTTTCGCTCGGGACATCCTCAAAAAATCGCGAAGATGGCCCAAGATGGCCTCCAAGTCCGCCCGAGATGGTCCAAGACGGCCTCCAAAACGGCCCAAGAGAGTCCAAGACGGCCCAAGACGGCCCAAGAGGCCCCCCAGAGGCCTCCCAGACGGCCCAAGAGGCCTCCAAGAGGTCCTCCAGGAGAGTCCGAAGAGGGCAAAATCATTGATTTTCCCTTGGTTTTTGAAGGATTTTGGCATTTGCGCCTTTTCGGCTCTCCGACGGCTCAAGACGGCCCAAGAAGCCCCCAAGATCGCCCAAGAGGCCCCCAAGAGAGCCCCCTGATGGCCCAAGTGGCCTCCAAGATGGCCCCTAGAGGGCCCCAAGACGGCCCAAGAGGCCTCCAACACGCCCAAGATGGCCTCCAAGACGCCCAAGATGGCCTCCAAGACGGCCCTGGAGCGCCCCAAGAGGGTCCCCCGTTGGCCCAGACAGGCCCCCAAAACGGCTCCCGACGGCGTCAGACGTGCCAGGAACCCACCAAGATGGCCGAAGTTGGCTCGAAGCTGGCCCAAAAGGGCCCAAGAGGCCCCCAAGAGGGCCTCCAGGAAGGCCAAAAGATGCCAAAATCACTGATTTTCCCAAGGTTTTTGATGGATTTGGGCATTTCCCTTCTTTCGGCCTTCCGACGGCCCGAGACGGCCCAAGAGCCCCCAAAGATCGCCGAAAGATCGCCCAAGAGGCCTCCAAGACGACGACGATGACCATCAAGACGCCCACGTGTTCCCCGAAGGCTTTCCAAACCGATTCGGGGAACACATGGTCCGATGGCTTGGCAGGTCTGGCCTCAACGTTCGGCCACATAGGCGCTTCCACAAAGGCAGGGGGCGGCGGTGATTCGCCGTAGGCGTCTTCGATCTTCTGGAAAAAGAACCAAAACCAAAACCGAGAGGGTCCAGCACGCCAGGCACCCCTGCGATGAATCGACAGGGGGCGGCGGACTCCCCCTGGCGCTTCGGCCCGTCCCGCCGGGGTCCCGGAAGGCCGCGTAAACCACCTCAGCGTCCACAAAAAATCCTCCAAGACGGCTCAAGATGCCCTCGAAGACGGCCAAGATAGCCCTCAAGCTCGCCCAAGACGGTCCAAGATGGCCTCCAAGTCCGCCCAAGATGGTCCAAGATGGCCTCCAAGACGGCCCAAGAGGGCCCAAGTTCACCCAAGAAGCCTCCAAAACGGCCCAAGACGGCCCAAGAGGTCTCGAAGAGGTCCTCCAGGAGGGCCCGAAGAGGC